CCGGCACAGAACATCCACTCTTCTCCCCTGCCATCTTGGGACGAGGTCCACCTCAGCAGCGAATACCAATGTGGAGGCGCCTGCCTGGCCCACCCCACTGGGTTATGTTCTCTCACCTTGCAAAATAGCATTAGCAAACAGCACTCTTGCCCTGTACATGGGATTTAAAACCACAGGAGTACAGGGGTCTTATAAATAAAGAGGAAAATGCAACCAGGAGGATTTTGGGGTATGGACCAATGAGTTCTGTTTGCAAATGAAAGGATGGATGGTAAATCAGCGGTGCACAGAATCCAGCAGAAATTCTAATTAAACCACTAATTAGAAACGATGGAGTAGAGTAAGAGGCAACTTGTTATCTTCAGATAGCTGCTGGGCAGGCTCTGGAAAGCAGCACAGCAGAGCAACAGGGCAAATGCTGCTGAAGAGATGACCCTGGGGCTGGGGGCTGAGGCATGTGTTCTCTGGGCCTGACCATGGCTTCCTCCCCCTGCACCACAGCCGCAGAACAAAAGAGCTCTAACTTTCAACTCCCAAATTGAGGACTCAAGTGGCTTTAGAGTCTCATCCGACTCAGAATTATTCCCCGGGTCTGAACATGAGACTAATTTAGTACAGGAACTTATATTGCATTGAGCTTATGGTCTCATGTGTGAGCTTTCTTTATGCAGCAAACATTTAACTCTATATTTTTAAATAACTGGATTTAACCATAGGTAAATATTTTAATTTTAAAAAATTAACCATGGGGCAAGGACAGAGAAAGTCACTAAAGGACAGCCATCTACAAAATGGCTGTCTCTGAAGCAAGAGTTTCTGGGAGGTTCTCTTGGTCTGCAAAGGGTGGGGGAACATTAACGGTTACAGTTCAGTTGTCTACCCTCATTTACAGGAACTTCTCCACTGAGATCTCGGGTTGGAGATGGCAGGCAGGCCAGGGCAGCATGGGCCTGCTCCTCCAGGGTAGGCAATTTCTGAGTGAGAGAGGAGACAGGCAGGCAGAAGGAAACAGATGCCAGGCTTCCCAAAACAGCCAAAGGCACAAGCAGCAGAGTCCCAGGGGTGAGAAGAATGAGGTCTCCCTGGGACAAGACTAGCAGCATCCCCTCTGAACAGCCCTTGCCAGCAGCTACTGGAAATAACCTCAGGGTGTTTGCAGTTTTGTGCTGGGCTCTTGGGCCTCATCAAATCCCTCGCACACACTGTCCAGCAAGCAACCTGGACACACCAGAGCGTATCAGCCACCGGCCATCCTCACTTGTGCAGCTGCAGAAATTCTAGGGGCAACATCCACTCTTTTCTGATTCTTTTTCACCCTGCTACAGGCGCTGATCCTTAACTTGGACAAAATACAAGGGAATGAAGTCTATGATAACAGGAGTCAAGAAGACAGACACAGAGACCTGACCGTAAAGCCCTAGTGTGGAATGGGGATCTCTTTCTGAATTCCAATCCACCAGGAGCCAAATGCCACATTCCCCCCAAAGCTTGGAAGTCTGTATCTGGTCATTTTCTATCAATTTGCCATAGGTTGAGGCCCATTTCCTTCCTTCTTAGGGCACCAGCTTAAAGAATGAAACCCACATGTTGGGGCTGGGGAGATGGCTCAGTGGAATAAGCGTTTCCCTGGCAAGTGCAAGGGCCTGAGTTCAATACCCAGTTCTGCAAAAAAAAAAAAAAAAAAAAAAAAAAAAAAAAAGAAAGAAAGAGAAAAGAAACCCACATGTTTTTTGAGACAATTTCAGTTAGGTAGACACTTAGATTGTCAGGAAACATTTATTAAGAACTTATTATGCAAGCATATCACACAGTGGCTAAGAGCATGACATTTGGAATCTGACAGAGTATGAATTTTCAGGTTGCCTCTCACTGCCTATGTGACCTTGGACAAATTCTTTAACTTCCCCGAGCCTCAAATTTCACATCTGTAAACTGCAGATAGCAATATCTATCTCCCGGGAATGTAATGAAGATTAAATAAATCGTCTGTAAATAAAGCACTTAGCACAGCTCAAAAAAACCTCAAAAAATCTTATCACAGCATGCAAGTGCAGGGTAGGATGCTGGACTCCAGAACTGCTCTCTCTCCTCCTAAAGGCAGGTAGAGGGGGCATTCCTCTATACAGACTACTGTTGTGTTCTGGTTTTAGAGGGTGCTCTCGTAATCCAAAGCTGTGCTTCTGAGGTCTGGCAGCCTGGGACACTGGTTAAGGGCAGCTGACACAGGCACTAAAGTGTCAGGGTTGTTGCCATCTTGGTGTTCCAGATGTCTGGCTGTAAAGAGCCCAGCATGGAGTGAATGGTAGCTCAGACCTTGTCTGGGAAGAAAGCTACAATTCACCTCTCATTTAATTCTTCTGCTTAGCCTAGCAGTTCTAAAGGGATTCATGATGAATTTTCACTCTGTGGGGAGGAAGTACGAAGGGAAGGAGGGTACACAAGCAGAAGGGAGCTGCCACTCAGGAATCCTCTCGTTTCTGTGTCTGCCACGCTTGGCATATGCTTGCAGATCCAATGGGGAAGGACACTGATTCAAGATGACAATCCCGTGGATCAGCATGGCCTCTTTCTTGCTGCATCAGGGATCCTCTTATTTACTTCACTTTTGAGGTGCACACATCTTAGTCCAGCCCCACGTCTATGCTGGTTACAGAGAGGGAAGGAGCAAGGGGTCAGGGGCCCGCAGGGAGGCAGAAGTCCTATTCTTTCCTTTCCTCTCTGGGAAAAGCCAACCCCACTCCCCTGGACATTTCTCTTGCAGCTTTGGAGTCAACTGTGGATAGGCTGGGCAGGGAAGTTGATGATGGCAAGAACTGTTCACACAGAAAGGCCCCTGAAGTCTACTCAGCAGGTGCTGAAGCTTGGGACCAAGCCATGGTCAGGAACCATCACAAGAAGTACAAGTCAGTACTGCAGCGTTACCCTGGAGTTACTGTGGGTGGCCTCAGGCACCCAGCAGACTCAGCACAGCCCAACATTAGCCTTGTTCTTGCTCAGGGTTCCCCCTCTAGGGTCTCACAAAGGAGACTTGAGGGTTGGGAGGAAGTGGAGCTATGAGTCCTTAATCATATAAGAGTCTCTGCCATTTTCCTCTGCCTGCATGGCCCCTCTCCTGCTCAGGAGCAGGGACAGGAATAGAAAAGACTGCCTCTGGTTACAGCCTATAAGGGAAGGAACAGGGAACTAACATCTAAGGAGCACCTGCTATGTGTCCAGCACTAAGCTGAAAATAATGCTGTAGGAAAGGTACCACAGGCATCCTTCTTTTAACTGAGGCTACAGAGGGGAAGTAACTTGCCCAAGGTCACCCTGCTGGCACACAGCAGAGCCCTGGGCCCAGCTGTGACCACAATCGCAGGCCTCGCTGAGACTCCCCTTCAGCACTATCCCTTTCCAGCCCTGCTCACCCCTGGGCTCAGAGCTCAGCAGCAGCCCAGGAGCCTGAGCTCTGTGCTGGGGACTTGCCCACCTCTGCCCCATGGTCCCCAAACACTCAGGACTCAAGCCTTTCCTGCGCACGAGTCCTGCTAAAGAACTCCCTTGAACTCATAATAGTGGGTGCACGACTGTGTGTGACTCAGGCCAAACAAACTCCAATCGGAGCTAGTGGGCACGATTTGCCTCCTGCACTGAGTCACCCTCCAGCCTGAGCTGCAGGGATTCGCTGAAACTCAACCACCTACTTAGCCACAGCTGCTCCATTAGAGAAAAAGCCAGCAAAGGAACTCAAACCTCTGATGGCCTTACGGACAGGCCATGGCCAAGGACAGCCAGTGTGACCTCAAAGCCCTTCCTGGCCGGGGAGCGACCCACCTCACCTGTTCATGGGGTAATGTAAGCACAGTGCGAGGAGGCTCGGGCAGCCCTTGCTGTCAACCTCCAGCCTGACCTTGTTTCTCACACATCCATCAACATGCCCAGTGAAGCCTAGCAAGAAAAGACACTGAAGTTTTGGTAGAATGTTTTTGGAGCCCAAATCGGATTTTTGCAGTTCCTGGAAGTTCCTTTTAGGAAGGTCAGCGCCTTCACAAAAATCTTTCTACTCTGCCTCCCCCCACATCTCCACACAATCCTACCTGCCTCAGTGACCCCAAAGAGAAACAGGATCAAAATTTAAAAAAAAAAAAAAAAAAAGCCCACCGCACAGCCACGGGTTCTGGCAAGGTCTGTGATTTCAGGACCTCGGAACTTGGAGCTCTGGCGAGGACACTTGGCCTTTAAAAGGAAACACCAGGCTTCATTCCGAGGTGGCCGCGCCCCTGGGGGCTCAGTCTCCTGGGCGTCCTGGGAGCATCGCTTCGGTGCATGGTGCAGGCGCATGTACAGGTATAAATGTCGGAGAGGCCTCTCCCCTGGGAAGGCGACGTCCCCTCCAGATCCGCACCCCACGCACGTCCCCTGTCTCTGCTTTTCCGTTCCCAGGCGCTCCTCCCTCGAGGGAGGAAGGGATCCTCTCTAGCTACGAATTCCGCGGGGCTGGCCTCGGGACTGGGAATTAAATATTCATCTCAGACGTGAGAATTCTGCTTCTCTTGTCAATGTTACCGTCAAGGTCACGGGCATGAGCCGAGGGACAGGGGCTGGGGACCCCGACCGCCAGGGAGCTGCCTCGCGGAATTGCGCCCTGGGCGCGCACCTCCAGGCGGAGACCAGGCGGGCTTCCTCCCCGGGCCTCCACGGCGCTCACCCCTCCAGCTTCGCCCAGGTACCTCCGGCGCTCAGGGCCCTCCGAGCCCCAGAGCTAAAGCCCATCGCGCTGCCCGGCGTGCGCCCCGGGGCAACCTAGATCCGCCGGCCTGCCACTGCCGGAGGCTCCGTAGCCTGGCAACCGCGGGTGGAGGGGCCGGAGGCGCTGGGCGCGGGGACCAGGACCGGAGGGGACCCGGAGGGGACTGGGAGGAGAGCGCCACCTCGCACCTCAGGCCTCCGGGCCGGGGCGGCGCCGGAACCGCAAAGTTGTGCCTGGGCGCGGCACCCACTCACCTGTCCTGCCCGGGCTGTCACGCGGGACTCGGCCCCTGCACCCCGCCGGCCGAGTCTCTGCGGTCCCCGAGGGTCGCGGCGCACAGTTGCTCCCACCGAGCCCGACTGTGGCGGCGGCCGCCCCGGCCGAGATGGGGCGCCCGGACTCCGATCGCTCCCGCTTCCTGCCTCGCCGCCAGGGGAGCCTGCTCCAGCGCGCCGCGCTCGGGGCTGTGGGTCGGGCCGGGACCGGGCGTGTGGGGCCGCGCAGGCCGGGCTGAGTGCCGCCTCCCGCGCCTGGCCGCGCCGGCTCTGCGGAGCGGAACGGAGCTGGGCGGAGCGCGGCGCGCGCGGTTCCCTCGCTTTCCAAAAGGCCACCCTGGCGGCGGGGCGCCGTGACGCAGGCTTGACTCAGGCGCGGGCCGCGTCAGTGCGAGGCTCTCGGCCGCCGGCGAGGCTCTGCTGGCAGACGGGGGCGGAGGGGGTGGGCAGGGGACAGAAGGGGCCGTGGCCAGGGGGACGCTTCCTGGGGCTTCCGGCCTAGGGACCCCAACCCTGGTGCTGTCCCCAGAGCCTGTGCTCTCCGAGGGTGGTAGGAGGATGAGCCTTCAATAGCACCAGCTCTCCGCTCTCCGGAGCCTGGGCCTCGCTGTCTTCCCTTCCTTGTTGAACTCCTTCCCTCCACAGTGGTTCTTCCCCACTCTACACCCTCTCACCTGTACACGTGTTGCCCCTCTTCCCTTCCTTGGGCCTGCTTTTTCTGTTTCACTGACCATCCATTTTGCCACTCTGCTAGCTGTAGAGACTCTGTGCGGGTTACCTCGTAGGTACATCCTTCATCTACTGAGCTGCTACCATGTACCAGGGGCTCCAGAGGCTGAGATGAGGCCAGGTGAGGGGGAAGCTCTTGGAGAGGCTGGTGGGGTTTGCAGTAGAAAACCAGCAATAGTCATAATAGTACCCAGGGCTGAAGAGTTTCACCTAATTAGTAAAGTGGGGTACAACAAGAACATTCTGACTGGCCTCTTGGCAGGTGCCACAGGATACAGGCCTCAAAGGATGCGCAGACAAAATGAGGAAGGACAGTCCTCTGGAGGCAGCAGCACACCAAGGGCATAGGTGCAATAATGGGAAAGGTGCCGGGCATGGTAGTGCATGCCTGTAATTCCAGCACTTCGGAAGCTGAGGCAGGAGGATCACTGCAAGTTCTAGACCAGCCTGGGCTACAGAGTGAACTCGAGGCCAGCCTAAACTGCATAGCAAGATCCTGCCTCAAAAAAAGACAAAAAAAGAAAGAAAGAAAGAAAGAAAGAAAGAAAGAAAGAAAGAAAGAAAGAGAGAGAGAGAAAGAAAGAGAACAAAAAGAGTACGGAAGGTGTGCTGGAGGACAATGGCCTGAGGTGGAACGGAAGCTGCGTGGTGAGAAATAAAGCTAGAAAGGGATGGAGGCGCTCCTGCCAGAGACTTGGAGGGCTGGCTGGAGAGGCTGGAATGAGAGTCTCTGCTCTAGGGGACACCCAGGGGACATGGGAATGGACACAGGGGAACCTCAAGCTGATAAACAGTGTTTTATAATAGCTGCAAGCAAACCAGCCCATCGTTTGCCCCAGGCAGTACTTTTACTATACTAGACGGCAAACCAAGTTGCCCTTCAGAAAAGGGAAACATTCCCTCTATATTCCCAGGCAGTTTGCTATGTGAACATCCTCCAAACTGTAGCTCGGGATATAAAGCCAGCAGTGCCTCTGCCCTTAGGAATGTGGCAATTGAAGGTACCCACGGGGAAGCATCTCCACACAGGGATTTATTCCTTCATTCAAGTGTATGAGAGACTCAGAGCTTACCTGACACTGTTCTAGGATGTGGCAGACAGACAGCTCCTGATCCCTGCCCGTGCGAGCTTACGGTGTGCTAGACTCAACCAGGAAAGCAGAGCAGGGAAAGGTGCTTGGGAGGAAGAAGCAAGCGACGGAGGACATGGGACAGAGGTGCACAAATGCAGCGTGACAGCCGACCTGGGGTGGAAGGGGAAAGGAAGGAAAGCATCGGCAGGGGGTGGTTTTAAGGCAAGGGAAACCCGAGGCGTGGTGATGGGAAGGGGCAGAACTCCGGTGTCTGGCGGTTTTCATGCTGCCTGCCATCACCTCAAGACTTTGCCCAAGTTATATGGGCCTCAGTTTCCACATCTGCTCAATGGCTAGTACAAACTCCATAGGGTTGTTATGAGGGTAATGTAAGATGAGCATTTTTAAATATCTGGTATCACTGTTGTTAATAAATGACTGTTATTGGTGATATTGTTTGATGATCATGTTCTTAACCAAGAAAGAGGACCAGATTTGGAAGAAAAGATAAATCATGGATTTAAGACATATTGAGAATGGTGTGTCTTTGGGCCATGAAGATAATAAGCAAAAGATGTCCTTGTCATTCTGCTAGGTGTTTTTTCAGGTAACCAGCGCAGCAGAGAAACAGGTAGAAGGAAAAAGGGAAAGGGGCTTTATTTTGAGGACACAGAGAGAATTTGGGGAACATAAGGAATTCTCTGGATTGGAACAAAGGGAGGCTGAGGCTTCTCTGGCCTTTTGTCAGGGGTGAAGTTTGAGGGGACCTTTAAATATACCGGAGGAGCTGATTGGGGTCTTCCCTGAGGCGGCGGGAAGGGTGGAAGTAAATTATGTCTTGGGCTGAGTTGGCAAAGAAGGGGAAGGTGGTCTTGGGGAAGATGGGCCTTTGTTTTAAGGGCATCAGCCATATTAGATGACCACCACGATGACTGTAGCAATTCATGCGAGGGCCAGAAGCCAGCATGTTCTGCCCTGGTAGCACGTCTACTGGCAGAAAGCTCCAACTCAGATGAACTTCACTCCCGGTTTCTCTATGTGAAGTCCTCCAGAGAAGAACACTCTCGGGCTCTAGCTCCATCACCCTCATGGTGTGTACCTCAAGTGGGCTTCTTCTCTTCTGACCACCCTCCTGACTCCCTGGCCAGCTCACATCTCTGTCCTGATGAAGCCCCTCTCCTCTTCTGCTGTTCTCAGACACCTTCCTTACTACTCCCTGCCCCATACTTCCCTGCTGCCTCAGGAGCTTCACAGAAAGCTCTCTGCATTTTCTGCTGAGAACAGTGAAGCCTTCCCTGCCTGCACCAGCCTGGGCCCTCTTCCTTTTCCTCCTGGCAGACCATGGCAAGCCCCCCTGATGCCCGAGTCCATCCAGTCACCCCGTGCCTGGGTCGCCTGGCAAACATCCTCTTCAGAGCCACAGTTACCGTAATCTACTCCTGGCCCAACCATCTTTCCTTCTTCATTGGACCCTTTTCAGCAGCTCTTTAAGCATTTTCAAGTCCTGTTTAAAGGTCTCTAGGTTTCCATCCTCATCTGTCTTCTACATTCTTGTCTTCATTTCCTTACTCTTTCTTTGCTTCTTGTCCCACTCTGCCCCTTTACACTGCCAACATAGCTTTCGCTAAGGTCCCCAGTGACCTCTGTGTCACTAAATCCATTGAACATCTTCCAGTCCTCTTTACTGACTCCTCCATAATGCCTGCTGCCTTCCAACACTCTCTTCCCTCTCTGCTGGGAGTCTCCCTGTCTTCCTACCCTCTGGTCACCCTTTTCATTTCTCCTTGTTGACCTCTACATCCTGGACTTCTCAGAGCCCTATACCTTTCTACTCTAGATTATTTTCCTAAGCCATCTCCGATATTGACAACTTCCACATCCGTATCTCCGTTCCAGATGGTCTTCCAAGCTCCCCCTACTCAGCCTCCTCCTCCCTCTTCCACCTGGTGCTGAGATTTACCCCCAGTACATATGCTCAAGGTGAACTCCTGTAATCAAAGCTCTGTCTTAAAAATCATTCGGAGTTTTGCTTTTTTTGTTCCCCCTCCTCCTCTTCCTCCTCCTATTCCCTGGTTCTGTGAATTGTTGTACCAGCTGGAAAACTAAATAATAACCTTAAGATCTCCCTCCTTTTCACCCCTCATGAAATCTAGCACCAAATTCTGGAAGCTTCACCTACTAACTACTTCTTGAACCTGGTCACTTCTGTTTAATTCTGCCACCACAACCCCAGCCCAAGCTATAGTCATCACTCACCTGACTCTCCCAGCTACCCCGACTCCAGCCCCAACCTCCACTCCTTTTTCCCACATAGCAGTATAATTTTTTAGAAGCAGTAACTCCATCCGCCTCCCAACTCACACCTTTGCCCTGCAGCCTTAGCATGTCCCTCGTGGTCCTTCCTGGGCTCTAGGCTCATCTATCACTTCTCTTACCAGAGCTGTCCAGCAGCTACCTGCTACCTCCATTAGCCTTTTTTCCCAGCTCTTCCTTCTCTGTCAGGCCTTCCTGGTACACGCTGCAGTCCATGTGCTCTGCCTTCCTGGAATCTGTTAAGTCTTTCTTCCCCTTCCCTCAGGCCCTGCTCACCCACCCAGCAGTGTTAGGGCTCTGATTCTCCCCCTCTCCCAATTAGGTCAACCTCCTAGGTGGACATTTCCTTTGTATCCCTGATGACAACTGTGACTGAGGCCAAGCCATGTGATTGGCTGCTTAGTGATGGTCCCTCTGGCTGGTGTGGCAGCTCCATAAGAGCAGAGACCATGAATGTCTTCAACACATAGTAGGTCCTCCCTGAATAGTTACTGAAACAATAAAGTGTGGTTAGAAACATGGGTAGAAATCTCAGAAGGGCTGAAAGCTTCATTTGAAAAATAGTTATTTGCTCAATGGCATTGTGCCTACCTGCTGGGCACAAGGTCCTGAGCTCAATTCTCAATAAAAAAACAAAACCAAAAAACCCTTTAGGTAATTCAGTAACATGGTTGGATATAAATTTAACCTATAATTACTTTATGAATTATATTAAATATAATTCATTTTTTGTATATTAATCATTTATTTGGTACAGGGTCTCACCATGCAGCTTGGACTCTAGTGATCCTCCTGTCTCAGTGTCTCCAGAGCTGGGATTACAAGCATGCGCAGTTTCAGTGGCCAGATCAACCAATGCATGTGGCAGTGGGGACTGAACCTGGGTCCTTGCGCTTGCTAGGCAGATGCTTAGACCACTGAGCTATCTCCCTGGCCCAATTGTTAATTATATTGATCTATAATGTTGAATAAGTTAGGTATGGAAGACTTTTCTACATGACATGTCCTTTGCTTTATTCTGTTTTATTGCTGTCCAAATAACATCTCAGCATCTGACATCTGACTCCCTTTCCTGTTTACTTGCTTGTAGACAAAAGCAAATGAGATAAAAGCTGTACTCCCAGGACCTCGGACCGACCTGTCTTGACACAGTAGTGCTCAGAAGTATCCAGTGAGTGATTGGTAAAGAAGGTGAGGAGAGAGATTTCTTCCTTGTATAAAAAAAATCCCTGAAAATCAGGAAAAACAACAATAAAGGATTAGAAAGCTCATAGAAAACATGTGGCTCTTCCATATGTTAAA